TAGCTTTGAGCGGAAACATCTTAGGGACAGTATCCAGGCCCTGAGTTTAAGTCCCACAACCCACCAAAAAAGGAAAAGGAAAGGAAAGGAGAGGGCTGGGAAGGTGGCTCAGTGGTAGAGCGCTTGCCTTGCATGCCTGAGGCCCTGGGTTCGATTCCTCAGCACCACATAAGCAGAAAAAGCTGGTAATGGCACTGTGGCTCAAGTGGTAGAGTTCTCGCTTTGAGCTGAAGAGCTGAGAGACAGTGCCCAGGCCCAGAGTTCAGGCCCCACGACCAGAAGAAAAAAAAAGAGAGAGAAAAGTTTCATGGACTTTTTGCCCAAACCGTGATCCTCAGATCTCAGCCTCCTGAGTAGCTGGGACTACAGACTAAGGCACCCCTTCTTATACTGGTTGTCTTCCCTCAAAGGGTTCCAAAAGGATCTTGCGCTCTCATGAGATTGTACTGCCCCCAAGTGGACAAGTGGAAACTGACCTTGCCCTGACCTTCTCTCTGCAGGTGAGTCTACCACCTAGGCAACAGGGACACTCCTAGCTCAGGGCCCTGGGTGAAAGGTACTCTGTGGTCAGTGCCTGGGTGGTAAACACTTCCTGGTCAGGTGAATAACACTCTTGTCAGCACCCTGGGTACTAATGGACACTACCTGATCAGCGCTACAGATGGTAGGTACTCCCTGGTTAACACCTCAGTGATGGACAGTCCCTGGTCAGAGCTTTAGCTGATGGACATGCCTGGTTAGGACCCTCCACACTGGCCAGAGCCCTGGGTGATGGACATCCCTGGCCAGTATGCCCTGGTGGTGAGCATGTCCCGGTTAGTGCCCTGGTGACTGGGAGTTTCCGGCTAGTGCTCTGAATGTTGGGTGCTCCCTTTTTACTTACATCAGCTCTTCATTTTGGTTCATTTTTTTTTTCCAGTCCTGGGGCTTGAACTTTAGGCCTGGACACTGTCCCTGAGCTCCTTTGGCTCAAGGCTAGCATTCTACCACCTGAGCCACAATGCCACTTTGGCTTTTTCTGTGATCAATTAGAGATAAGAGTCTCACAGACTTTCCTGTCCAGGTGGGCCTCGAACCATGATCCTCAGATCTCAGCCTCCTGAGTAGCTAGGAGCCACCAGCGCTCAGTTTGGTTCATTCTTAAAGAATTAGAAAACTTTTTTGGCTTTGTTGTGTTTTCATCCCTTTGGTTAAAATGCAATGATGGAGACAAAATATCAAGGTAATCAATTATAGAAGCATTTTGCCCTGATGTTAAGATAGCCAGGAATATGTGGAAACTAAGAATTCTAAGCTGGAAGCCCTTTGAGTATCTGGGCTATAGCCTGTGGTGAAGAGGAACTAGCTGTCCGCTTATTTGATATGGGGCTGTTAGAAGACTCCCCAGCCCTCATTTGGAATAGGGAACTCCAACTCTCTTCAGAAAGCCAGATGAGCCCCAGTTTATTCCTATCTCCCAGTCAGTTCACTCCAAGTCCCTTAAAATAATCTTCACACAGAGCTGTGGTTTAAGGAAATCTGCAAGTCCCTGCTAGTGCTGGCCTCCACCCTACCCATGGCCACATCTCCCGGTCCACCTGGCTCTGTCTGCCCTGGCTTATCTTGCTGGCCTCATGGAGCCTGCCTTCACCAGCACAGCTTTTGGGTTTTGTAGTGGCCTGGATGTGATTGTGTACTTTTTCCTGGGAGTCAGGTTTCCTGAAGTGCAGTTTACTAAGCACACGGATCATCTGTTCCATGGCCATGTGGCTTCTGAAAAGTGTGTGTAGGCATGCGAGAGCATCCTGAGTTCTCTTGTGATCTCTGAGAACCTGTGGGAGTTGTGGTTAGAAGCTGCAGGTCCTGGTGTGTGTGGCAGCCTGTGGTGGTGGGGTGGGGCTGTTGCCGGGCCGTTGGGTTGGAGAGTGCACAGTGTACCAGGATGGAAGAACATACCAGAGGGCCAGGGCCACACTGGACTCTGGAGAGAGGAGCTGCTGAGGAACTGCGCATCCTTCCAGAGGTGCACACGCATGTATGGGTTCATCCCAAATGTCTCAGCTTATAGTTAGCAGCCATTAATGTAGAAAATAAGCTCCTAGTGCCATGCTGAGGGGAGATACCCTTGCTGATATACTGGCTCCTGGTGGGGTGGGCCCCAGGGTAGCCCTGGAAGGCCCTTGCAGGGTCTGCAGGCATTCCTCGAAGACATTGGGTGTAGGTGGCTTAGGGTACAGTGCTGTGCCAGACCCCAGGAGGGCTTGCTTGTGCTCTTAGTATCCACACTTCCTGAAGAGAGAAGGCAACAAACTCCAGATCATGCTACAACGCAGAAAGCGGTACAAGAACCGGACAATCCTAGGCTACAAGACACTGGCTATGGGCTCCATCAACATGGCTGAGGTAAGTAGCAGACTGGTACTGTGCTGCTAGATGGGGGGTTTGTGCATGCCTGTGTGTGTGTGAGTGTGTGTGTGTGTGTGTGTGTTATGTGTCTGTCCTCAGTTCCCCAGCGCATCTGCACAGGTCACTTCTCTTACATATCCATTATGTGATCGGTTGTGTGTGTGAGAGTGTATTATGTGTCTGACCCAGAGCATCTGCACAGGTCACTTCTCTTACATATCCATTACGTGATCGGTTGTGTGTGTGTGTGTGTGTGTGTGTGTGTGTGTGTGTGTGTGTTATGTGTCTGTCCTCAGTTCCCCAGCGCATCTGCACAGGTCGCTTCTCTTACGTGTCCAGTTGTCCTCAGATTGGTCAGAAGAACCTTGGGGCTGGGCTCCAGCCTCATCCTAGATCCCTGGCCCCTGAGCTATTTAATGCACTGCTGCTGCACTGCAGCCCTGTATATGCAATTTGCTTCCCAACCTGTCCTGTTTTGGAGGACAGCCAGGGCCCTCTGACCTAGTGCCTTTCCTGGGAAGTGTCCTGGAGATGTCCTTCCAGATGACCCTGCTGGACATCCCATTAGTCTTCGCCTAGCCCCAGCAGCCCAATTGAGGGGACAGCAGTTGGACAGATGAGATCTGAGAATCATGGTTCAGAGCCAGTCCAGGTAGAAAATCTGTGAGACTCTTATCTCCAATTACTTCCAGAAAGGCAGAAGTAGAATTATGGCTCAAGTGGTAGAGTGCCAACCTTGAGCACAAAAGTTCAAGGACAGTGCCCAGGCTCTGATATCAAGACTAAGGATGGGCATCCAAAACAAGGAAAGCAAACCCTAAACAATAGGAGTCATAGGAGTCCATGGTATTGATGGGGTGTGTGAAATGATGGGAGCTTGTGGGCATAGAGGATGCTCCTGGGCTGCAGGGCTGAGGCTAACCTCAGCCAGTTTGTCTCTAGGCTTCGGAACTTTGCTGTCATGGGGCAGGCAGGGAACAGCAGGCGGGGCTGTACTCTCCCCCCACACCTCTGCTGCCCACCCTCCCTACACACACACACACACACACACACACACACACACACACACACATCTCTACCGCCCACCCTTCACTCACATACCTGCCCCCCACCCTTCCTACACAACACACACATACACACACACATACCCCTCTTCCACCCACACCCCCCCACACCCATCTCTTCCATCCACCCACCCCCACCCACCCCCCACACACACCCCTCTGCCACCCACCCTCCATACACAGACCTCTGCTGCCCACCCTCCACACACATACCAGAGTTCCTGTGCTGTCCAGCGCCTGCCTTGCCTAGCACTTCCCCTCTCTCAAGCCCCTCCTCTCTGCTTTATGCTGAGTGACCTGTCCATTAGACTTTTCCCCAGCTCTCCAAGTTCCATGACCACCCCAAAGGTTCAGTTGACTGTGGCACTTGTGGGTTTGATGCCTATCATTTTCCTCTAGGCAAAGACTCAAATGCTGATCCACGGCTCCTGTCTCCATGGCCCATTGTCCCCATGTCTCCCTCACTCAGTACCTGTGGTCCCGAGTCCACCCCTTTGCTCTCCATGAACTCCCTCCTCTGTGCTGGGAGAGCATCTCCACCCATTAAGACCTCTCTAGGCCCGGATCAGTCCTCTTGCACACCCTAGGCCCTGCTTAGCCCGCCTGTGCATGCCGAGGCCCAGCACAGCACCCCTCCACCCCATGCACTGGGGCCTGCCCCGGTTCCGCTGTGCTAAGCTAACTTCCTGATGACTGGCCTGTGGCCACATAGTTGTGTGTGTCACCGTGGGCACTGGTGAGCTCGAGGGGAAGCTGGTCCCTGACTGGCCTGTGGCTGCGTGGTCATGTGTGTCACTGTGGGCGCTGGTGAGCTCGAGGGGAAGCTGGTCCCTGACTGGCCTGTGGCTGCGTGGTCATGTGTGTCACCGTGGGCGCTGGTGAGCTCGAGGGGAAGCTGGTCCCTGACTGGCCTGTGGCTGCGTGGTCATGTGTGTCACCGTGGGCGCTGGTGAACTCGAGGGGAAGCTGGTCCCTGACCTCACTGAGGGGTGGTGTGAAAGGACTCAGAGGCTCTGCCTGTGGGCCCCATGCCTGGGTTTCCCTGCTGGTCTAGATGCAGCAGTGGGGAACTTCTGTGTGGGTGATAGACCAGGGGTTGGGAGAATCCTAAGGCTGGCGTTAACGCTGGCTGGTGCTGGACTGGAAGGCAGGTCCTCCAGGGAGGGTTCCTGCCAGTGTATGGAAGTGGGCAGGGCCATCTCTCCACATGGCCCAGGGGTCTCCAGCAAAGATGACCCAACTTGCCACCCACCACGTCCTCTGCTTGAGGACTTCAGGATACCAAGGACCCTGAACTCGGTGTCCCGGGAGTAGCTGGAGATGCAGCCAGAAAGAAGACATGGGAAGGGTCGTCTTTGGTTCCTGGGGCCTTGCAAAGAAGGGCACTATCCAGGACCAGGAATATCCCTGGGATATCCCAGGGCAGTGGAGACAGGAGGAGCTGTCAGGTCCTGTCGACTCCACTCAGGTTGGTGAGAGCCAGCGTGAGTGAGCGGCAGTGTGCAGCCTATGCCAGTCCTGTGCTGCCCTCGGGACTCGGCCCCAGGGCCCCAGGGCCCCAGGCTGCACCAGAGCCTGCTGTTTCTTTTCCTTCAAGGAGGGCACTTGTTTTCCCCCGTTGTTGAGCCTGGTTTCCTAAGCAGTTTCTCATGGCCCTGAACACCTTTTTGAAAACAGAGAGATCTGTGGAGAGTTGGGCGCAGGCTGAGCTGACTTCAGAGCTTTGCTTTGGTCGGTGGGCGGCAGCAGCAGCATCTGGTGGGCGGCAGCAGCAGCATCTGGTGGGCTGTTTGAACAAGGGTGCCCTGGTGCTTCAGAGCCAAGCCAGGTGGCTGTATCCTGGCTGGAGTGAGGACTGGCGCTGTCTAGAATGGCATCTCAGGAGTATTCCTGGTCTCGGGTTACAGACCGCTGGCTCTGAAGATAAGTCAGCTGTGAGGAGCATGCAGGTGCAGGGGTGTTATAGAACACAGAGATAGGCTGGGAGCAACGCTACGGTGAGACTGCCCCCAGCCCACAGTCGGCCTAGCTGTGCTGGCCAACCTGAGACCCCGTCTGATGCAGAACATCCACTGGCCCACGCGCACCTCTGGCCTGAGGCATCCCCATAGAGTGGCAGAAGGCTGGTTTCTGTCCTGTCCTCCCTCCCAGTGGAGGAGATCAGGATTTCTAGGGCAAGAGGCCCAGCCTCACCTGAGGTCCTGCAGAGCTGGCTTTGAGGAGGCACGGCAGCTATGCCCTGTCAGCTGGCCTCGCTCTGAAGGGCTGTGGTCCACTGCACACCCCAGCTGCAGCAGCCCATGGCCAGGATGTGGCAGGGCTCCGCCTCCGGAGCAGGTGTTGGTGTGAGCAGACTGTTCTCACTGCCAAGACTGAGGTCACTCTAGGTAGATGGTGAGTGCTTGGAGCTGTGTCTGCAGAGTTCGGTAGCTCTGCAGTGTGTAGCAGATTGTGTCCTCTGAATGCACATGGGCACATAAAAGCCCAGGAGCGGCTCAGTGTTCGTATAGACCTGCAGCTAACCTTCCTGACAATCATGGTAAAAGCCATGTGAGCTTTCTTTCTCTTCCCTCCTTCTCTCCTTCCTCCTTCCCTCCCTCCCTCCCTCCCTCCCTCTCTCCCTCTCTCCCTCCCTCCCTCCCTAGGCTTGAACTCAGGGTCTTGGTGCTGTTCCTGAGCTTTTTTGCTCAAGGATACAGCTCTACTACTTGAAGCACAGCTCCACTTCCAGCTTTTTGGTGGTTCATTGGAGATAAGAGTCTCATGAACTTTTCTGCAAGGGCTGGCTTTGAACCGCAGTCCTCAGGTCTCAGCCTCCTGAATAGCTAGGATTATAGGCGTGAGCCACCAGCGCCCAGCCTGTGTGAGCTTTCTTAAAATTTATTTGCTGATTTAGAGTTTGTACCACATATCAAGCATCAAATTAAAAAAAAAAAAAAAGACCCATAAAACCTAACATCTGGATCTGATTAGGTGACCCAGAGGCAGCTTCCCAATTGCAAAGGCCCGCTCGGTGAGTCTGAAAGCTGCCCGCGCATGTTTCCAATGCAGCATAGGGCCCAGGGCAGTGCTGGGTCTGGTGCCGGGCTTTGCTGCCCTCTCTGGTTTGCTGAGCACTCTCTCTGACAGGGTTGGCCTCAGGAGCTTGTCCATCCTGTGAGCCAGCCTCACTGGAGGCCTGGCTTGTGCTGGTGGCCTCTCCTCCACTGTCCTGGGACAGTGGGTTTCAAGGGTTAGGAGGCTGGTCAAGCACCACTAACTGACCTTCAGCCCCACCATCATTCTGCTTGGCTGGTGCTCAGGCCCTGGGCTGGGGAGCAGGCATACTCAGGCTGGTGCTCAGGCCCTGGGCTAGGGAGCAGGCATACTCAGGCTGACGGCTTGGGGCCTGTCCCTGAGGTCTTGCCGGGGACATCCGAAGCCAGGTGGCTTGTAGAAGCTCCTCTGTACCCACCCCAAGCCTGGTACCGACTGTCCCTTGGTCCAGTGTCCCCCCATGACTGACTGTCCATCCAAGCCCCTGGTCCTTCTGTGTCCTGCTTGGCCTCCTCTCTGCAGTCTTGTTTCTTGCCTGCCAAGCACACTCCCTGTGACCTGGATGTGAGGGCTGCTTGAGGTGGTAGAACTGTCTAGAAACCTGTCCCCCAGGTAATGCAGCACCCCTCCGAGGGCGGCCAGGTGTTGAATCTCTGCAGCAGCATTAAGGAGGCCTCTGTCAAGGTGGCTGAGATCTGGATCGTCTCCTTGTCCAGCCAGCCCATTGACCACGAGGACAGCGCCATGCAGGCTGGGCCCAAGACCAAGTCCACAGGTGAATCTGTGCCCCCTGCCCTTGCTAACCTGCACACACCACTTCTGGCCATGTGTATGTTGACCAGCAGGATGGTCCAGAGTGGCTGGAGAATTTGGGGGAGAAGCAGAGCATGTTGACCTGGGAGCTCTGAGGCAGCGCTGTGTGTTGTGGGGCTGTGCTGTGGCCATGAGATTCACGTCCTGAGTGCCTTCAGTGCGGAGGCCTCGAGGGGTTGATGCCTTGATGGGTGCGAGTCCTGTCGTGGGGGGGCATTCAGCAGCTGTCAGCCGTGTCACTGTCAGCTCTGCCAGCCCCACAGCCGTGTGACCTTCTGTCATGGGCTCTTGCAGTCTGGGCCATGGGGCTGGAGTCCGAGTCCCTGTTTGGTGTGGGCTGTCTCCTTGTGGTTCCCCTGCTTGCAGGGACCACCTGTGATTGGATCATCACCTTGTTGTCATAGCATCAGGCGGAATCTCAGGGTGCCTTCCCTTCCGTTTGTTTATTCTTCAGATAACTACTCAGAGGAGGAGTATGAGAGCTTTTCCTCGGAGCAGGAGGCCAGCGATGATGCTGTACAGGGGCAGGTAATGGGCAGACCCTGGAGGCCCTCATTTCAGCCCTCGCCATACACAGTTGTGTAGGGTTGAAGTGGCTTCATGTGTCCAGCTCCACACACCGAGTGTGTGGCCCCTCGGGGCTGTGGGAGGCAGGAAGGACGGGCACACCTCACCCTCAGTCATGTGTGTGTCTTGCAGGATCTGGATGAGGACGACTTTGATGTGGGAAAGCCCAAGAAGCAGCGGCGATCGATAGTAAGAACGACGTCCATGACCAGGGTCGGTGGAAATTGGATTTACTAACATTAGGGGAGGGCTGGGTGTGGTTTGGGGGTGTGGAGAGGGTGGAGATGGCGTTGCCTGAGGCCAAGGGATGATGGGCCTGGGTGTGGAGGATGCCCAGACCTCTTGCAATGGCCTTGCAGTGTGGAGCCATGGCTGGGGTGGCCAGCGGCTGCCTACGGCCCCAAGCCAAGGCCAGAGGAAGACCCTCTCCAGTTCAGTTTCCAGACACACCCTGTGTGTGGCAGAGTAACTTTTTTTTTGGGGTGGGGCCTGAACTCTGGGCCTGGGCGCTGTCCCTCAGGTCTTCAGCTCAAGGCTAGCGCTCTACCACTTGAGCCACAGCGCCACTTCTGGCTTTTTTTCTTTTTGCTTATGTGGTGCTGAGGAATCCAACCCAGGCCTCATGCATGCAAGGCAAGTGCTCTACCACTGAGCCACCTTCCCAGCCCCCAAAGTAACTTTTTGTTGGTTTGTTATTGGTTCTGGCTTGGGCACTGTCTCTGAGCATTTTTGTTCAGTCTAGCATTCAACCACTTGAGCCACAGCACCACTTCCAATTTTCTGGTGGTTTATTGGAGGTAAGAGTCTCATGGACTTTTCCTGCCTGGGCTGGCTTTGAATCACAGTCCTCAGATCTCAGCCTCTTGAGTAGCTAGGATTACAGGCGTGAGTCACCAGTGCCTGGCACAAATAATGTTTTGGTTTGTTTTGTTTTGTTTTTGGTGCTAGTTCTGGGGCTTAAACTCAGGGCCTGGGCACTGTCCCTAAAATTCTTTTGCTTAAGTCTAGCACTCTACCACTCATGAGCCATGGTTCCACTTCTGGCTTTTTCTGAGTAGGGGCTTTTCTGCCCTGGCTGGCTTCAAACTATGATCCTCAGGTCTCAGCCTCCTGAGTACCTAGGATTATAGACATGAGCCACCACTGCCTGGCACAATAATGGTTTAGTTAGGGCCTAGCCTCTGGTTCTGTGGGCACAGAAGGTGGCTGTCACGTCTTTTCTGTAAAAGGAAAACTTGAGGTGTGTCTCAGGTTATTCTCAGCTGGCACAGTGTTCACAGTGGGCACCAAACCCCTTTGGAGCCCAGTGCTAACTAGGCTGCACTTCTGCAGGACTGCCCCCCTTCAGCAGGTGTGAGTGAGGCCTTGAGGCTGCTGTGCCCATAATGTAGGGGGGAGCCTCAGCCCTCAGTCCCCCTCGGCGGGAAGACAAAGAGTCGCCCTCCCTGGACAGGGTTGGCATTGTAAAGGGACTGAGGGACTGCCTCGTGGCTACCTGCTAAGCCTGGCACTTTGGCCATCTCCGTGCACACACCTCCTTCAGGCCTGTGTCTCCTGGGAGGCTGGAGTCACGAGAAAGGCTGTGCCGGCTGCCAGCAAAAGCACAGAGCTCAGGACTGTCAGTTCCCCCGGGCATTCTAAGTCTGACTTCAGCTTGTGTGTTCAAATGTTGCAAACACACCTGCAGCTACACTTGATAGCCTTCCACATACTCATCAGAATTTCAGTGATTAAGTTGCACCTCCTCTCCCCTGGCTGCCACCTCGAGGCCCAGACATGACATCGCTGCCGATGGGTCTAGCTCCCGTGTCATTTCTGGCTCTGTGCTTCTTGTCTTGCAGCAACAGAACTTCAAGCAGAAGGTTGTGGCACTGCTACGGAGATTTAAAGTGTCAGAAGAGGTGAGTACCTAGGCCTCTGCCCCAGCGACCACCGTCACCAGGGCACTGCTTACCAGTCTCTTGATTCCAAATTGAAACGTCCAGAGGAGGATAGATGAGCATTGATGTGCTCATTTGTTTTATAAATAGACATTATTTGTGGAGTGGTTCAAATTTATAGACAGATCAAGAAGAGAGCTCCCATGGTCGCCTCAGTACAGTCTGCCTTGCCCGATCCTTCCCCCCCCCCCCCCCCCACTTACCCATCCCCATCTTCCCCCAGTACAGCCTGCCTTGCCTGGTCCCTCCCCCCCCCCCCCCCCACTTACCCATCCCCATCTTCCCCCAGTACAGCCTGCCTTGCCTGGTCCCCCCCCCCCCCACTTACCCATCCCCATCTTCCCCCAGTACAGCCTGCCTTGCCTGGTCCCTCCCCCCCCCCCCACTTACCCATCCCCATCTTCCCCCAGTACAGCCTGCCTTGCCTGGTCCCCCCCCCCCCCCCGACTTACCCATCCCCATCTTCCCCCAGTACAGCCTGCCTTGCCTGGTCCCTCCCCCCCCCCCCCCTGACTTACCCATCCCCATCTTCCCCCAGTACAGCCTGCCTTGCCTGGTCCCTCCCCCCCCCCCCCCCCCACTTACCCATCCCCATCTTCCCCCAGTACAGCCTGCCTTGCCTGGTCCCTCCCCCCCCCCCCCACTTACCCATCCCCATCTTCCCCCAGTACAGCCTGCCTTGCCTGGTCCCTCCCCCCCCCCCCCCCCCCCGATTTACCCATCCCCATCTTCCCCCAGTACAGCCTGCCTTGCCTGGTCCCTCCCCCCCCCCCCCCCCGACTTACCCATCCCCATCTTCCCCCAGTACAGCCTGCCTTGCCTGGTCCCTCTCCTCCCCCCCCCCCCCCCACTTACCCATCCCCATCTTCCCCCAGTACAGCCTGCCTTGCCTGGTCCCTCCCCCCCCCCCCCCGACTTACCCATCCCCATCTTCCCCCAGTACAGCCTGCCTTGCCTGGTCCCTCCCCCCCCTCCCCCCCCGACTTACCCATCCCCATCTTCCCCCAGTACAGCCTGCCTTGCCTGGTCCCTCCCCCCCCCCCCCGACTTACCCATCCCCATCTTCCCCCAGTCCAGCCTGCCTTGCCCAGTCCCTTCCTCCTCTCTACCCACCCCTCCCCAGTCCAGCCTGCCTTGCCCAGTCCCTTCCTCCTCTCTACCCACCCCTCCCCAGTCCAGCCTGCCTTGCCCAGTCCCTAACCCCCCCCCCAGTACAGCCTGCCTTGCCTGGTCCCTACCTACCTCCTCCCTCCCCCCTACCCCGCCCCGCCCCAGTACAGCCTGCCTTGCCTGGTCCCTAACACCCCCTCAGTACAGCCGCCTTGCAACTGACATACCATAGAAGCTTGCATAACTTTCATAAGCAAAAGAAAAATACCTTGGCGTTTTTAGAGCAGTCATGATTCTGGAGCTACAGTGAGAGAAGGTACTTGTTTTACCCCAAAACAGCACTGTCACCTGACAAAGCTCCTCCCCTCCCCCAGTAGTTCTGCATCTGCACACGTGAGGGCTATGCCCTATAGCAACAGAGTTTGAACTCAGCCCTAAGCACCCACATTCTGGCTGCTCTTCTCAGGAGCAAGTGTGTAGGAGGTGCTTCTCAACCCTGCTGGACCTGTGACCCCTCTGGGGGCACCACCAGCCTACCTTGCTCGAATGGTTGGCCTGGCATCAAGTCTTACACTAGTTACCTTGTGATTGAACAGTGGTACTCCCAAGCAGGTCCTGTTTGCTAGCACCTTTCCTCCACAGCTCCCTTCAGATGTAATGGCTCTGCCGTGGCTCTACCTCCATGGCAGGGCTGAGCCTGAAATAGCGCATCCTGTGAAACTAGGCCGAGGTGGCCATACCTGCAGCTCTGCATGCCTCTAGAGTTGGAGATGTAGCAGAGGTTAACCATACTTGAGCCCCTTAGAGTTGCAGCTGGGTACCCAAGGAACAGTGCGTGAGAACACGGGAGCAGAGCTTGAAAGCCTGTGCTCTGGAGGCCTGTAACTGGCAGGGCAGCATGAGAGGCTGAGCTGTCTTTGGGGCCATTCTCCTTTCTTCCTATAGAATGGCTCTGGCTTTCTCCTGTGCTTACTGCTCTCACTCAGCACAGCCTCAGTGTTCTCCCAGACACAGCAGTAGTTGTCTTGTGATTGAATAGTGGTACTCCCAAGCAGGTCCTGTTTGCTAGCAACTTAGCATAGGTGACCCAGCCAAAAGTGTTACATGTCTTTGAATTAGTTCTTTTTTGTGTGTGTATGCCAATTCTGGTGCTTGAACCCAGGGCCTGGGTGCTGACCCTTAGTGATTAGCTCAAGGATAGCTCTCTACCATTTGAACCGTAGCTCCACTTCCAGGTTTTTGTTGGTTAATTAGAGATAAGAATCTCATGGAAGGCCAGGCACTGGTGGGTCACATTCAGGAAGTTGAGATCTGAGGATCGGGGTTTGAAGCCAGCCTGGGCAGGAAAGTCCGTGAGATTCTTATCTCCAATTACCCATCAGAAAACTGGAAGTGGTGCTGTAACTCAAGTGGTAGAGTGCTCACCTTGAGCTGGAGAGCTGAGGCACAGCGCCCAGGCCCAGAGTTCAAGTGCCATGACAGACAAAAAAAAATCTCATGGATTTTTCTGCCCAGGCTGGCTTCAAACTACTCATCCTCCCGAGTTGCTAGGACTCTAGGCATGGCCACTGGTCTCTGACTTGTACTGCCCCTTTGACTATAAATTTCACCATTAACTCACTTTTCTCTTTGGATTCCACAGCAAGCACTCACGAGGGCCATGAGCCCTCTCAGAGCTCCACTTAAGGGATTTCTTCTGTCAGGTACCCTATTTTGTCACTTAGAAGAACTCCCATAAAACAGTCGGACACAAAGTTTCTTTAGCCAAGTTCTTGCCACGTAATAGTAAATATCACCTTTCCTCCTGCTTCTAATAACATACTCCTCCTTTCTGTCTGAGATCACATCAGAACATCCTTCACCACATTTTTTTCTGCTAGCATCCTGTTCATGACCTCCTAGGAAATCTCTGAGCTTAGACTTTCAGTAGCACTCTTTCTGAGCTGCCCCCAGAGTTTCTTGCTTACACCTCCTTTCATGGGCAGTGAATCGCAAACCTTTATAGCCTCCCTATCCATCTCTCAGTCCCAAAGCTTCTTCCACCCTCTTAAGAATTTGTTGTGGCAACACTCTACTTCCCTATATCAATTTTTGTCTTAGACTATTATAGGGCTGCCCTAACTAAACACTTTAGAATGTAGGTAGTTTTGAAACAACCAAAATACATTGTCCATACCCTGGAGACTGCAAGTCCAAGATCAAGGATGTGGAGTTGGGAGTGTGGACAGGAATGTCCTTTATAGACAGTCTGTGAGTCCTTCGTGGTGGAAGGAAGGACATGCTCCTTCAGCCCCTTTTATAAGGTTGCTACTCCATGAGAGCACCTCCCTGTGCCTTCCTCCCCTCCCAGAGACCTCCCTCAGGGAGACCTGTGCCCTTGTCACCCTCCAGAGCCCCCCCTCGGGGAATAGGCTCTGCACCCACAGGCCTTGACTGGGTGTGTGGGCCTCTGGGAGGACTGTGCAGAATGGTGGAGCCGGGTGAAGATGCCCTGGAGCCTGGGACTCAGTTGAGAGGGATCTGCAGCAGTTTCCATTTAACACAAGTAGTGTGCACTGTGTGTACAAGGTGAGCCACACTAGACTGTGACTCATAGTGAAGCTGGAAAACTGTGTGGGGAGTAAGTAGAAGATGAACAAGTGATGGGACATTGTCCTAGACCAGGGCCCTGCTGCTGCTGTGGTGCCAGTACCCTGGTTGACCAAGGACACACAAACTCTAACCAGTCTCTATCTGTCTCTTCTTGTTGTCGTTCCAGACCTGGGGCTTGAACTCAGGGTCTCGAGCTCTCCCATAGCTTTTCTGTTCAAGCTTGATACTCTACCATTTGAGCCATACCTCCATTTCCAGCTTTTTGCTGGTTAAGTGAAGATAAGAGTTCCATGGGCTTTTAGGTCCAGGCTGGCTTTGAATCATGATCCTCAGCTCTCAGCCTCCTGAGTAGCTAGGATTATAGGCGTGAGCCATGGGTGCCTGGCTTCCAGCTGTCTTGTAGAAGTCCTCCAGCTGGTCCTAAAATGGATGTGTAATGCAAGGGACTCAGAACAGGTTGAAAAAGAACAAAATTAAAAAGCTGGGTGCTGCAGGTTCAAGCCTGCATGTGATCCTAGCAATGCAGGAGGCTGAGATCAGCCTGGATCAGAGACTAATCAGGTCAGATCAAAAGGAGAGGTGTGTGTCAAGTGGTAGAGGGCCAGCCTTAAGCGAAAAAGAACCAAGATTGTGAGGCCCTAAATTCAAGACCCAGTACTGGCACCAAAAAGTAAAATAAAAACATTCGCACAGGGCTGGGAATATGGTTTAGTAGTAAGAGTGCTTGCCTAGCATGCATGAAGCCCTGGGTTCGATTCCTCAGTACCACATACACAGAAAAAGCAGGAGCAAAAAAGAAAAAGAAAAACATTAATACTTACCAATTGCATGACTTGTTACAACAATCTACGGTGCCCAAGATTTATCAGGGGAGTGGGGTCCAGCCTCTAGGAGCCAATCTTTCTATTAGTACAGCTCATTTTCAGCAAGGTGTCAAGACCCTTCCTTGGGAAAACAATGGTCTTAAACAGTGGCTGTTGGAGAACTGGATATCCATGCATATCAGAATTAAATCAAAATCCTTCCTTACACTATTTTAAACCCAATAGATTAGGGCTGCATCCATGCATGTAAGCTAGGACTGTAGAACTCGTGGAAGCTAGGGCTATGCTGTTGTGACCTGGGCTGGGCACCATAATTTAGCACCAAAGGCAAGCGTGTGTGTGTGTGTGTGTGTGTGTGTGTGTGTGTGTGTGTGTGTGTGTGTGTGTACACACAGAAAATAAACTGGAATTCAGCAACACTTTTTTTTTTGCCAGTTCTTGGGCTTTAACTCAGGGCCTGGGGACTGTCCCTGAGCTTTTTCATTCAAGGCTAGGACTCAACACTTGAACCACAGTGTCACTTCTGGCTTTTTCTGTGTATGTGGTACTGAGAAATCGAACCCAGGACTTCATGCATGCTAGGTAAGCGCTCTACCACTGAGCCACATTCCCAGCCCAACTTTTTTTTTTTTTGGGTCCGGTCGTGGGGCCTGAACTCTGGGCCTGGCGCTGTCTCTCAGCTCTTCAGCTCAAGGCTAGCGCTCTACCATTTGAGCCACAGCGCCACTTCCGGCTTTTTTTCTTTTTGCTTATGTGGTGCTGAGGAATTGAACCCAGGGCCTCAGGCATGCAAGGCAAGTGCTCTACCACTGAGCCACCTTCCCAGCCTCCAGCCCAACTTTTGTACATCAAACAGGGCCACCAAGGATATGAAACAGCAGCCCACTATATAGAAAATTTTTGCAAATTATATACTGACAAAGGGCTTATACAGAACATAAGGGTTCTACTCATGACCCATGACTGTAAACATCCAGTTGAAAATATTTTGTCTTATTTTTTCCCCCTTCCTGAGGTTTGAACTTGGGGCCTGGGCACTGTTTTTGTTTCAAGGTTAGCACTCTCCCATTGAGCTATAGCACTACTTCCAGTTTTTTGGTAGCTAATTTAAGGGTCTTGCAGCCTTTCCTGCCTGGGCTAGCTCTGAACCACGATCCTCAGATCTCAGCCTCCTAAGTAGCTGGGATTACAGGCGTGACCACCAGCCCTGGCACAGGTTGTCTTTTTGAGACCAGTGCAGCCACAGGTACAGTGGAGCTCAGGTCCACCTGGCTCCTGCTTCTGGCTCACTGTGCCTTGTGACTTTCAAGGCACTGGAAAAACATGTGGAGTGATACTTAAGGATTACCCTAACCAGCCACAATGTAAATCCTGGAGACACAGGGAGTTGGGCAGAGTTGTGGAAGATCTCACACACAAGGCCAGTTCTGTGTCCAGCCTATAAGAATTATGACAAGAGGTTAGTGATGAAGGATCTGAGGCCCAGGGCCATTTCTGGCTGAGAGTGCAAGCAGCTCAGTGGCCGCTGCCAAGCCTGGGCCTGCCCTGAGCTGGAGCAAATGAAATCACCATTGTAGGCATCTTGGTCAGCCTTTGTAGTAAATTACCTTTTGTTTTAAGAAATGAGCTATAGTGGCACAAGCCTGTAATCCCAGCACTTGGGAGGCTTAACTGGAAGCTTGAGCCTGGGCTACTAAACAAGACTTAAGAAAAAATAAAGCCAGGTGCTGGTGGCTCACATCTATAATCCTAGCTATTTAGGACTCTGAGATCTGAGGGTCATGGTTCATAGACAACCTAGGTAGGAAAGGCTGTGAAACTTATCTCCAATTAGCCACCAGAAAATTGAAAGTGGAGCTGTTGCTCTTTTTTTTGGATGCGGTCGTGGGCCTGACCACTTGAGCCACAGTGCCACTTCTGGCTTTTTTTTTCCTGCTTATGTGGTGCTGAGGAATCGAACCCAGGGCCTCAGGCATGCAAGGCAAGCGCTCTACCACTGAGCCACCTTCCAGCCCTGGAGCTGTTGCTCTTTAAAGTGGTAGAGTGAGCCGGTTGCCGGTGGCTCACACCTGTAATCCTAGCCACTCAGGAGGCTGAGATCTGAGGATCCCAGTTCAAAGCCAGCCCACGCAGGAAAGTCCGTGAAACTCTTATCTCCAATAAACCATCAGGAAACCGGAAGTGGCTCTAGCTCAAGTGGTAGAGCACTAGCCTTGAGCTGAAGAGCTGAGGGACAGCACCTAGGCCCAGAGTTCAAGCCCCACGACTGACAAAAAAAAAAGTGGTAGAGTGCTAGCCTTGAGCATAAAAGCTCAGGGACAGGGGGCGAGGATTGGGTGTGGGGGCGGAGGGAGGCTGGGAAGGGTAAACAAAGGAGGAGGCTACAATGCTTGATAAGAAATGTACTCACTATCTTGCCCATGTAATTGTAACCCCTCTGTACAGTATTTTCACAAAAAAAAAAAAAAAAAAAAAAAAAGCTCAGGGACAGCACCCAGTCCCTGAGTTCAAACTCCATGCTGGGGTAGGGACAGGGGGACCCCCCACACGGCTGGTGAGAGTATACAGGGTGTAGCTGCCCCAGTGGAGATGAGGGTGTGTCCCACCAGGACTGCAAACATTCAGGGCCATGCCAGCTCTACCTGCAGTAGCCATACTTGGGGCCCAGCCAGATCTCTGTCCTTGGCCACTTCCAAACAGACCATGTTCCATTTTATCCTGTTCAGAAAAAGGGACCATCCGTCTCACATGACATGTCTTGCTGTCTCCCATGTGACTCCATTTCTGTGTTGTCTGGAAGAGGCCAGCTCACAGAACAGAGTCCCTGTTGGGCTCCTGGAGGCAGAGAAGATGGCTGTCCCAGGGCAGGGGACTTCTGGACTGAGGTGGCGATGGCAGCCACACGCTGGTCAAACTTGCCTTCCTTTGCGTCTTCCTGCGTGAGGCTTTGTAAGGTCTGGGCCCGTTCAAGCACCATGGACAGACGTGAGCACCTGGTTCCTGAGTTAGAATTCAAATAAATAGAATATGCTGGCTGCTGAGCATGGTTGGTCCCAGGTGTCATCTTCGTCTTGAAGGCCTTTCGGCATTGGCTTTGGTCGGAGTTTGACAGCCAGGCCTCGACAGGCTCCTCACACGCGTCCGGCTTTGTTTCAGGTTCTGGATTCTGAGCAGGACCCTGCAGAACATGTCCCCGAGGCAGAAGAGGACCTGGACCTCCTCTATGACACTCTGGATGTTGATAACCCCAGTGACAGTGGTCCCGACATGGATGATGACGACAGCGTGCTCAGCACCCCCAAACCCAAGCTCAGGTGGGCCCCTGGGCTGGGCTGGGCTGGGCTGGGCTGGGCTGGGCTGGGCTGGGCTGGGCTGGGGCTGGGGCGGGGGCAGGGGCTGGGCTGGGCTGGGCTGGGCTGGGCTGGGCTAGGCTAGGCCGGGCCTGGCCGGGCCGATTTTTGTTTCTTTGTGCCAGTATTAGGGTTTGGACTCAAGGCCTGGCACTGTCACATAGCTTTTTTTCTTTTTTTTACTGTGGGCTGGTACTCTAGTACTTGATCCACATTTCCACTTCTGGCTTTCCGATGGTTAATTGGCGAGAAGAGTGTCACAGACTTTCCTGCATGGGCTGGCTTTGAACCGTGATCCTTAGGTCTCAGCCTCTCCAGTGGCTGGGATTACAGCTGCGAGCCACAGGTCCTTTACTTAGCACCTTCACATCTGATGAGCCTCGCAGAGGGGCCTCTGTGCTGCCTTGTGGGCTGGCCAGGTGCCTGCCTGCCGACCTGATCACTGCAGGGAGGAGCAGAGGGTGGAGCATGTGTCTGGACCTACAGAAGACCAGGTGACTCCTGATACTGGCAGGGTACTGATCTGGAATCTTCTGTGGGACAGGTGTAAAATCATAACCTGACCACGTGTGCTCTCACATAGAGCAGGACCTAAGGAGTGACAGGAAGAGGGCTTCAGCTAGAAGGTTCTGGCAAGCCAGAGGGCAGGTGGGGTGTGGGGCTGTGGATGACTGTGGAATCCCAAGGCCCCCTTCTTAGGAGGGACTTTGACCTGCGGCCACAGATGGGAGCCCCAGCAGAACCCCTCCTTCATGGGAATGGGGAGAAGGCAGCTCAGCCTGGTCTGGAGGAGAAAACAGATCAATCCACTCATGTTTACTGGAGACCCTTTCAGGACCAGGGAACCTGGATCTCAGGCCAAGGTGGCGCCAGCTTGTAACTGTGTGTGGCCTGGGCCTTTGTTGTGGCTGCGAGATCAGGGAGACTCCGGCGGTTAAAGAAGTTTGTTGTTTTTGAGCATTTAAAGTTAAAACAGACAGAAGCACACATAAGAAAGGTGGGCTTCCTAAGTCATTAGAAGCAAGAGTGCCGTTAACCCTGCCTCCCATTGCTGCCTGCTGGTGGCATGACATGGCCCTGTGGCTGCTGTGACAGGACCACAGATGTGCAACTTAAAACATCTATTTCGAACTGGAAGTGGCGCTGTGGCTCAAGTGGTAGAGTGCTCGTCTTGAGCTGAAGAGCTGAGGGATAGCACCCAGGCCCAGAGTTCAAGCCCCACGACCGACAAAATAAAACAAAAAAACAACCCTATTATGGTCCTCATTCTTGGATGGCTCAGCCCTGTTCTCTGCCTGTTGTGTTGCTAGGCTTAGGTGAAGGTCCTGCCACTGACTCTTCCAGTGTGTGGAGCTTGACCTCCTACAGCAGCGGGACAGAGTCCCAGCGCAGCTCTTGCTCAGTGGAATGTCATCCTCACCATCTGGCAGCTACTTCTATATCTTGGTTCACACCCCTGTAGCCAGTGCGCCCCTCACATGCGTCTGTCCCTTCCGCCGTATCCCTCCTCTCCTCTGCCTGAATGGGTTCTCTGTCTGCAGTGGATCTGGGACCAGATTAGGTCACCTGCATGGCACAGGTTCTCCCCATTGTGGGCTCTATACCATTGGCCAGCCCATGCTCTAAAGTGAGGCCTGGGTACCTTGGGACTGTGATTCTGAGTGATCGCACATGCGTGGCACCTGTGTCTTTAGCTCTCCTCACCCTCACCTCTAGGTGGGTGTGCCAGCTGCCACACGCAGAACTTTCCAGCTTGAGTGTCTTTTACGTCTCTTGTGTCTCTCCCTCTCTATTCTCCTCCCCTCTCTCCCTCTTCTCTCTGCCCCCTTCTCTCTCTCTCCCTCTTTATCTCTCCCTCTCCCCCCCTCTCTCTTTCCCTCATATTTCCTGCTGGGGATAGACATGTTTGATCCATATCTGATCTGGTTGCTATGGCCTGGGATAGACTGGCTGGTCTGCATGGTCTAGAATGACCTGGTTAGTCTGGATAACCTGAGATAGCCGAGTTGATTCCTGCGTGGTCTTTGTGTGGTCTGGGATGACCTGATTGGTCTTGACGGGTCTGAGATGACCTACTTGATCTCTGGGTGATTTGGGATAGCCTGATTGGTCTGGAATGGCCTCTTTGGTCTCAATGGCCTAAGATGGTCTCCACCTGGGTATGCCTAGATCCTCAGTGGTGCCTTGGTTAGGTCCTGCAGAGTCCTACTTCCTGCAGAGACCCCGCGCTTACCACGCGAGCATCCCACGGCAGGATTGTGGCAGTGGGGCTGGCGCTCACATTCCTTGTCTTGCTGGCAGCTTGGCCCTGGTTAAGGCCATGACCGACAGGTTTTCAGGAACAGACACTTTGCAGCTGATCTCACAGCAGGTGGACGTGCCTGCCTGACCTGGTGCGCAGGTCAGGATTCCCTCCGAATTTCCACTTTCTCGTGCCAGATCCCCGAGGGTGGGTGTGCTCCCCAGGCTCTTCCCCCAGTGTCAGCACTTTCTGTCGATCTAGCTCGGTTCTCACCATCTGCCTGTCTGTGTGCTGTGGGGGGCAGTCTGGAGAATAATCCCTCCCTGAACCAGGCCGTACTTCGAAGGCCTGTCTCATTCCAGCTCACAAACGGAGATCGGGAGCATCCACAGTGTCCGGAGCCATAGAGAGCCTCCAAGCCCCGTGAGTAAGGCTGTGCTGCACAGCAGCCCGGTCCTTGGGTTGGGCGTGGTCTTTCTCACTCTACCTGTCGTCCTGAGTGACGTGGGCTATGCGAGGCCAAGAGTATTCTTGGTGAAGCTGGGCTGTGCCCTGGACTCAGGGCCCTGCACAACAGCAGGTGGCCATTCTGGGATGACCCTTAGCCTACAGCCTGCAACCTCCTCAGCCCCTTGCCAGGGGTGCCTCAGCACCCGCCCTCCAGCATGACTGTGTCCCCATCTTGTTGCCCTCCCCAGGCAGATGTCCCTGAGAAGACACGGTCCCCCGGAGGCCAGCAGCCAAGTGACAGCATCTCTGACACAGTGACTCTTGTAAGTATGCTGCCAGGGCCATGCCAGCCTGTCCATGTGCATGGGCCACCAATTTATAGTGGCTCCACTGGGAGCTCCTTGTCCTCGGGCTGCCCTGGGCCCATGGCAGATAGCCAAGCTGTCAGTCAGTCTGGGAGCCTCTGCCTGCTGTGTACCCAGCTTCACTAGAGCGTTTGCTCCTGCCGCCCTCACGAATGGTATTCTTGGAGATGCTGGAGCCCTGTGCCTGTGTTAGGGCCAGGTCTCAGGCAGGTTTGGCCCTGGTCTCCTGGCAGCAGCTGAACTGAGTTCCCTAGCTGGAAGCTGTAGTATGTGGCCATGCCACATACTGGACCAGGGGTGCAGAAGGCCTAATCATCCCCCTCCTCTGAGCCTGTGGCCCCACAGGCTCAAGAGGCTCTCTGTGCTCGAGTGCATGTGCGCACGTGTGTTTCTAACTAGGCAGACACACACCGCTTCCCCCTTCTTTCCAGGGTGTATCAGACCCACGAGAGCCAGCAGTGCCGCCCGAGGACAGCCCAGAGGCTGAGACCTCCACCCTGGATGTGTTCACTGAGAGGCTGCCGCCCAGTGGGAGGATCACCAAGACAGAGTCTCTGGTCATCCCCTCCACCAGGTGTGGCCCCAGTCAGTCCCCTGTCCCATCCCCTCCCCTCCCCCGCCAGTGTCACTGCCCAGGTGACTGGGCAGCACAAGTGGAGAGCAGAGCTGCTGTGGGTCCCCTGCTGCTGTGCAGTGGTGGTTTCTATGCCGCCGCTGCCTGTGTGTGTTTCAAGCACCCCTGACAGGTAGCCTCCATGCACGCCCCTCCCGTGTCAGCCTTGCCCTTCACCAGCACCCTTCGATCTGCACACGTCTGTGTGTTAGGACCCAGTGTAGACACCACACTCAGTCCTGGCTGGGCTTCGGGAGCTTTTACCTTTGGGTTTTGTTTTATTGTGCTGGTACTGGGGCTTGAACTCGGGGCCTGAGTGCTGTTCAAGCTCTTTTGCTCAAGGCTAGCACTCTGCTACTTGAGCCACAGCCCTCAACTATTATTCTAGTTTTCCAGAAGGTTGAGATGAGTATCCAGGTTCAAAGCCAGCATGGGCAGGCAAAACCAAAAGACTGGGGCTGGGAAGGAGGCTCATTGGTAGAGTGCTTGCCTTGCATGCATGAGGCCCTGGGTTCGATTCCTCAGCACCACATAAGCAGAAAAAAAAAGCCAGAAGTTGCGCTGTGGCTTAAGTGGTAGAACGCTAGCCTTGAGCTGAAGAGCTGAGGGACAGCGCCCAGGCCCAGAGTTCAAGCCCCATGACTGACCCAAAAAAAAGCAGTTATGCAACAAACTGTCAGACTGGAAGCATGCTCAAGTGCTACAACACCAGCTATGAGCGAAAAAACTGGGCAGAGAGTACAAGGCTCTGAATTCAAACCCCAGCACGGTGTGTACAGGAAGTTTACAGCCCTGGATTTTTTCCTCAATATATGCTATGGCCTCTGACCCTTTGAAGAGCTCAAAATTGGAGGTCCGCCCTCTACACACAGGCTGGATTGTACATCACTATGATATTCAGGACTTTCCTGAAGCAGGAATTTGTACACCATCATTTTCCCAGCAGGGGTCACAGGGACCAGGGTCAGACCCTGGTGCAGTGACTCTGACAGTCCATATCCTGCATGGGCTCCCACCTCCCTTCTCCCCTAGCCGTGAGAAAGAGCTGAGTACTGAGACCCTATTCAGATCGGTAACAATACGATTGTCCTTCCCTGCCCTCTACCTCCACTGCCCCATTTGGCCTACCTTGGTTCCCAGCAGGCCTGAGGTCAAGCCAGCTGGCCGCCGGGGCCGGAGCACATCCCTGAAGGAGCGACAGCCTGCCCGGCCACAGAACGAGCGAGCAAATAGTCTGGACAACGAGCGCTGCCCCGACACACGGAGCCAGCTGCAGGTGTGTGCCTAGCACAGGGAAGGTGTGTGCACAGCACAGGGAGGGTGTGTGCCCAGAGCAGGGAGGGTGTGTGCCCAGCACAGGGAGGGTGTGTGGGGACAGTGCAGGTGTGTGCCCAGAGCAGGGAGGGTGTGTGCCCAGCACAGGGAGGGTGTGTGGGGACAGTGCAGGTGTGTGCCCAGAGCAGGGAGGGTGTGTGCCCAGAGCAGGGAGGGTGTGTGCCCAGAGCAGGGAGGGTGTGTGCCCAGAGCAGGGAGGGTGTGTGCCCAGAGCAGGGAGGGTGTGTGCCCAGAGCAGGGAGGGTGTGTGCCCAGAGCAGGGAGCATGTGTGCACAGCACAGGGAGGGTGTGTGCACAGCACAGGGAGGGTGTGTGCCCAGAGCAGGGAGCATGTGTGCACAGCACAGGGAGGGTGTGTGCACAGCACAGGGAGGGTGTGTGGGGACAGTGCAGGTGTGTGCCCAGAGCAGGGAGGGTGTGTGCCCAGAGCAGGGAGGGTGTGTGCCCAGAGCAGGGAGGGTGTGTGCCCAGCACAGGGAGGGTGTGTGGGGACAGTGCAGGTGTGTGCCCAGAGCAGGGAGGGTGTGTGCCCAGAGCAGGGAGGGTGTGTGCCCAGAGCAGGGAGGGTGTGTGCCCAGAGCAGGGAGGGTGTGTGCCCAGAGCAGGGAGGGTGTGTGCCCAGAGCAGGGAGCATGTGTGCACAGCACAGGGAGGGTGTGTGCACAGCACAGGGAGGGTGTGTGCCCAGAGCAGGGAGCATGTGTGCACAGCACAGGGAGGGTGTGTGCACAGCACAGGGAAGGTGTGTGGGGACAGTGCAGGTGTGTACCCAGCACAGGGAGGGTGTGTGCACAGCACAGGGAGGTTGTGTGCCGAGAGCAGGGAGAGTGTGTGCACAGAGCAGGGAGGGTGTGTGCACAGAGCAGGGAGGGTGTGTGCACAGCACAGGGAGGGTGTGTGCCCAGAGCAGGGAGGGTGTGTGCCCAGCACAGGGAGCGTGTGTGCCCAGAGCAGGGAGCGTGTGTGCACAGCACAAGGAGGGTGTGTGCCCAGCACAGGGAGGGTGTGTGCACAGCACACGGAGCGTGTGTGCCCAGCACAGGGAGGCTGTGTGCCCAGCACAGGGAGGGTGTGTGCACAGCACAGGGAGGGTATGTGCCCAGCACAGGGAGAGTGTGTGCCCAGAGCAGGGAGATTGTGTGCACAGCACAGGGAGCATGTGTGCACAGCACAGGGAGGGTGTGTGCCCAGCACAGGGAGGGTGTGTGCCCAGCACAGGGAGCGTGTGTGCCCAGCACAGGGAGGGTGTGTGCCCAGCACAGGGAGGATGTGTGCACAGCACAGGGAGCGTGTGTGCACAGCACAGGGAGCGTGTGTGCACAACACACGGAGCGTGTGTGCACAGCACAGGGAGCGTGTGTGCACAGCACAGGGAGGGTGTGTGCACAGAGCAGGGAGGGTGTGTGCCCAGCACAGGGAGCGTGTGTGCCCAGCACAGGGAGGGTGTGTGCCCAGCACAGGGAGGGTGTGTGCCCAGCACAGGGAGCGTGTGTGCCCAGCACAGGGAGCGTGTGTGCCCAGCACAGGGAGGGTGTGTGCACAGCACAGGGAGCGTGTGTGCCCAGCACAGGGAGCGTGTGTGCCCAGCACAGGGAGCGTGTGTGCCCAGCACAGGGAGGGTGTGTGCACAGCACAGGGAGGGTGTGTGCACAGCACAGGGAGCGTGTGTGCACAGCACACGGAGCGTGTGTGCACAGCACAGGGAGGCTGTGTGCACAGAGCAGGGAGGGAGTGTGCACAGCACAGGGAGTGTTTGTGCACAGCACAGGGAGGTTGTGTGCCCTGCACAGGGAGTGTGTGTGCCCAGCAGAGGGAGCGTGTGTGCCCAGCACAGGGAGGGTGTGTGCACAGCACAGGGAGCGTGTGTGCACAGCACAGGGAGCGTGTGTGCCCAGCACAGGGAGCGTGTGTGCCCAGCACAGGGAGTGTGTGTGCCCAGCACAAGGAGCGTGTGTGCCCAGCACAGGGAGCGTGTGTGCCCAGCACAGGGAGCGTGTGTGCACAGCACAGGGAGCGTGTGTGCACAGCACAGGGAGCGTGTGTGCACAGCACACGGAGCGTGTGTGCACAGCACAGGGAGCGTGTGTGCACAGCACAGGGAGGGTGTGTGCCCAGAGCAGGGAGGGTGTGTGCCCAGCACAGGGAGCGTGTGTGCCCAGCACAGGGAGGGTGTGTGCCCAGCACAGGGAGCGTGTGTGCCCAGCACAGGGAGCGTGTGTGCCCAGCACAGGGAGGGTGTGTGCACAGCACAGGGAGCGTGTGTGCCCAGCACAGGGAGCGTGTGTGCCCAGCACAGGGAGGGTGTGTGCCCAGCACAGGGAGGGTGTGTGCACAGCACAGGGAGCGTGTGTGCACAGCACAGGGAGCGTGTGTGCACAGCACAGGGAGGCTGTGTGCACAGAGCAGGGAGGGAGTGTGCACAGCACAGGGAGTGTTTGTGCACAGCACAGGGAGGTTGTGTGCCCTGCACAGGGAGCGTGTGTGCACAGCACAGGGAGCGTGTGTGCACAGCACAGGGAGCGTATGTGCACAGCACAGGGAGGGTGTGTGCTCAGCACAGGGAGGGTGTGTGCACAGCACAGGGAGCGTGTGTGCTCAGCACAGTTGTGTGCACAGCACAGGGAGTGTGTGTGCACAGCACGGGGAGGGTGTGTGCCCAGCACGGGGAGGGTGTGTGCCCAGCACGGGGAGGGTGTGTGCCCAGCACGGGGAGCGTGTGTGCCCAGCACAGGGAGGGTGTGTGCCCAGCACAGGGAGCGTGTGTGCACAGCACAGGGAGCGTGTGTGCACAGCACAGGGAGGGTGTGTGCACAGCACATGGAGGGTGTGTGCCCAGCACAGGGAGCGTGTGTGCACAGCACAGGAGCACAGAGAGCGTGTGTGCACAGCACAGGGAGCGTGTGTGCCCAGCACAGGGAGGGTGTGTGCACAGCACAGGGAGGGTGTGTACCCAGCACAGGGAGCGTGTGTGCCCAGCACAGGGAGCGTGTGTGCTCAGCACAGGGAGGGTGTGTGCACAGCACAGGGAGGGTGTGTGCCCAGCACAGGGAGCGTGTGTGCACAGCACAGGGAGGGTGTGTGCACAGCACAGGGAGGGTGTGTGCCCAGAGCAGGGAGCGTGTGTGCACAGCACAGGGAGGGTGTGTGCCCAGAGCAGGGAGCGTGTGTGCACAGCACAGGGAGGGTGTGTAGGGACAGTGCAGGTGTGTGAACAGAGCAGGGAGGGTGCAGAGCAGACTGGAGTAATTCTGCAGACAATGGGTACTTGGCGATCTTGGAGGGTCTGCTGGCCAGGGGCCCTCTGTAGACAAGGGCACTAATCATGGGTCCTCTTGCCCGGAAGCTCTCAGCCCTGGGGTGCATGTTAGCCATTCAAGTCTGTCCAGGAGTGCGGCTATCTCAGCCCAGGGCTGCACTGAAGCCTTGTAGCTCTGGGGGCAGGAAGTCCTGAGGTGGTGGGTTGGGGAGGTGTTGGCTCCTGAGTCCCCTGGTTATGGATGGCCTCTGTGTCTCCAGATCCCCAGGAAGACGGTGTACGACCAGCTGAACCATGTCCTCATCTCGGACGACCAGCTTCCAGAGAACATCATTCTGGTCAACACCTCTGACTGGCAGGGGCAGGTAGGAGGGCAGCTCTGTGGCCCACCCTCTGGGTGAACTGAGAGTCAGAGTGGTGTGGCTGAGGAGGGAGTGGGCTGGTGACGGTCAGGTTTGCCGGGGCCTATGTAGATTTCTCTGAAGTCGGAGCTTGATCTGGGGCTAGAGGGGGTGGGCGGGCGCTGTGCTGAGGCCGCTGTCTTGCCTACCCCTCCAGTTCCTCTCAGATGTCCTCCAGAGGCACACGCTCCCCGTGGTGTGCACATGTTCCCCCGCAGACGTCCAGGCGGCCTTTAGCACCATTGTCTCGCGCATCCAGAGATAGTGAGTCTGTGGGCCCTCCCTCATGTTCTTGCCCATGCTTGTGGAGGCTCTGAGCTGGGGGTGCCAGGCCCCAAGCCTCCTGCACCAAGTTCCACTCGGATTCCCAGTGGGTGTCCGGGCACTCAGGAAGCGTGACAAGGGGAGAAGCAGTCTCAAGTGGCCACCTAGACATCTTCAGAGGTCACACCTCCTGTCCCCCAGCCCGGGTCCATCCAGGCAGACCCCATCGAATCTCGGGGCTTGTGTGGCAAGACATCTGGGTTTGGTAGTTGCACGGGGGTGGGAACAGTGCGTCTGAGGGCACGCCTTCCCTGGGGCTCAGCTGGGTGGTCCTGGGCCCGGGACAGCTCCCCTGAGTCCTGTCCCTTTTCACCCCCCCCCCCGGGGTTGCAGCTGCAACTGCAATTCCCAGCCCCCCACCCCAGTGAAGATCGCCGTGGCGGGAGCCCAGCACTACCTCAGCGCCATCCTGCGGCTCTTCGTGGAGCAGCTGTCCCACAAGACGCCGGACTGGCTCGGCTACATGCGCTTCCTCATCATCCCCCTGGGTGAGGGCCACGGCTGTGCGGGCAGGGCTGCCAGCACCACTGCATGACTCAGTTTCTCCTGGGGAGGTGGATGTGGTTTATGCTTTGGTAACTTTTTTTTGCAGGGGGTGGGGGGGAGGCCTGGTTGTAGGACTTGAACTCTGGGCCTGGGCGCTGTCCCTCAGCTCTTCAGCTCAAGGCTAGCACTCTACCACTTGAGCCACAGCGCCACTTCCAGCTTTTTTCTTTTTGCTTATGTGGTGCTGAGGAATCGAACCCAGGGCCTCAGGCATGCAAGGCAAGCGCTCTACCACTGAGCCACCTTCCCAGCCCTTTGGTAACTATTTAAAGTGATGTAAGCTGAGTGCAGTCCCAGCACAGAGGAGGTAGAGGCAGGATGGTTGCAAGTTCAAGACCAGCCTAGGCTGCATAGTCCCCCGAAAAATACAAAGAAAAAGAAAAAGTGAGACTGGCTGCCTGTGGCTCACACCTATAATCCTAGTTGCTCAGGAGGCTGATATCTGAGGAACATGGTTCAAAGCCAGCCTCGGTAGAAAAGTTTGTAAGACTCTTATCTCCAATACACTACTCAGAAAAAGCCGGAGGTGGCTCTGTGCCTCAAGTGGTAGAGCACTAGCCTTGAGCATCAAGGGGCTCAGGGATAGCGCCCAGGTCCTGAGTTCAAGCCCCAGGACTAGCAAAAAAAAAAAAAAAAAGGAAAAGAAAAAACCTAAAAGTGGTTTGGGAGAGAAGACAAAGCTGTCACCCAGTCAGCCACCGTGATCCATGCCAGTTTTGGTTCTGTGGTCAAAAATGGAAACAACAGGCCTTTTAGGTTGCTTGAGTTCTTGGTAGCTCCAATAATTTTTTTCATTTATGTACTTTATCTTACAAGGAAACAAATCTTGATTTTTTGGACAAGATCTAGAGGGATGACTGACTTGGACCTTCCCGAGTGAGGGAAGCTGCGTCAGTGGGCCACGGAAGGCCACCCCAGAGGCGCTCGGGACAGTGGGCCACAGACGACCACCCCAGAGGCGCTCAGGACAGTGGAGTTGTCTGGGATCTGTGTGGTGACTGTTCTGCTCTTGGCTCACAGGTTCCCACCCTGTGGCCAGGTACCTGGGCTCCGTGGACTACCGCTACAACAACTTCTTTCAGGACCTGGCCTGGAGAGACCTGTTTAACAAGCTGGAAACTCAGAGCACTGGTGAGATCCAGCATGGTACCAGTGTTGGGGAGGAAAGTGTTGGCTGCGGTGTGCAGCCCCCTTCCCCTGGAGACTTCTGAGGGCCCCTCGGAGCTGCCCTCTCGCAGCCTGATCCGCAGCCCTCCTGCCAAGTAGGATGTTTCTGGAGGGGTGGGCACTTGGCCAGGAACAGGCCTTCGGGAATTGGAAAGAAGCCTTACCCCTTACCTGTGGGCTGGCTCGTGGGCCTAGGACACAGCCTAGACCTCACCAGGCCACTTCCTCCTGCAGTGCAGGACACGCCAGACATCGTGTCACGCATCACCCAGTACATCGCGGGCGCCAACTGTGCCCACCAGCTACCCATCGCTGAGGCCATGCTGACCTACAAGCAGAAGAGGTAACAAGGTGGACCCTGGCCAGGGGCTTGGGGAGCACCCAGCCCCGAGTCCCCTCCACTGCCGCCCTGCTGCAGCCTCTCCCCTGTCTGGGTACAGAGAGGCCATGGGCTGCATCGTCTGGGGGGTTGGTGTGTAGGGTGAGGTTGGGAAGGAGCTTTCAAGCTCGGAGGGCCTGATCCACAGAGGCTCTGCTAACTCCAAGTCCTAGCAGAATAGCAGCTTGGGTTTTCAGAGCCCCTAGTTTTGTATATAGTGAAGTTTTTCTGATGCAGCTAGTGGCGGCTGGTTAACCCTCTGGCCTCTCACAGGATCGTGGCCTTGGCCACAGTGTTCAGAACCCATAGGTGGAGGCCTGCCCTGACCAGGGGCTATCGGCCTGGGCCTAGGTCCTTCATTCTAAGGAGCTGAGTAGCCCTGAGCAAGAGCCCTTCCATTGGCACAAGCAGAGGCCAACCTGTGGTCTTAGGGAACTGAGCGTTCCCCTCTTGGATCAGACCTGTTGACTTGTTTGGCGGGGGGTGGGGGGGGTGGGGGGAGCGGGGGTAAAGGCAAAGGCCATGTCACTGCTTCCCTTCTAGGGAGGCTGCTCCCTCCTAACATCTATACAACACCTAGCCCTTTCCCCAGGTCAGAGGGCAAGTGGCAGGTCTGTGAGGCACAGGGATGTCAACTCCGTCCCCACACAGAGCTCACCTTCAGCTTCTTCAGAGCAGGGGTGGGCCCCTCCAGTGGGGGGGGGGGGGGGGCTTGCCACAGCTCCCGAGAGCATCGTAACGCATCTGTTTTCTCTTTTGGTGGCTTTCCGAAAAGGAAAAAGCACTTTCACTTTGACTTTACCCTGAGGTACAGCTCTCTGGCCTGCACCTGTGTCTGTCCCCAGGCTGGTCTTTAGGGCTTGTTTAGCAGAGTGACCACCCAAGTCCCCCTCCCCGATACCCAGGGAGTGAGGAAGGTGCCCCTCGGGGTCTGGACCCCCTTCCTTGGCCCTGCTGCCCAGTGAGCCCGTAGGGGACCCACAGTCCGTACAGAGTGGGGCAGGGGGTGCAGAGCCTATGAGACTCTGGGCTGGAGTCACAGAGAGGCACAGCCATTGAGGCTGACCTCACACACTCGCCCAGGGCTCTGCTCCCCATGCCTGGCCTCCGCCCGAAGACAGCAGTGCCAGTCCTCCTGGGGAACATGGAGGGGCACCAAGGAACTGGCAGCCTGGCCCGCACCTCAGTCGCTCTGCTCTGCAGAGACGCAGGAAGGACACTCCCTGCCTTCATAGGTTTCCCAGGGAGGCAGCCAGACCCCTAGGATCCCCAAACATAAAATACTTCAGCCCCAAAGAGCACTTCATCTCTTGAAACTTGGACTAGTCAGGCTGAGATGTCTCAGGCTCCCTCAGCACTCGTCCTTTTCCTTGGTGTGCAGTCCTGCCTTCTGTCTTGGTCATCTGTCTTGGTATCTACTCCTTTAAGAAGCCCCTGCTCCTGGGACAGTTGATGGGTCCGGGAGGCCTCCCTGCTGGAGCTTCAGGCCACTGGGACATGGTAGCTCAGCACCAGTCTGCTAAACAAGCCCTCAAGTTGGAGAAAGACCAGCCCAGCCGTCATGCCTTCCTCTCCAGCATGCTCCCCCACAGGTGTACTTCCGTCAGCAAAATAAGACTTGAGGACCCTTCTAGCTCCTTGTGCCTTCTGCCCTGCCTGCGGTATGCTGGTGACACTGGCACTGGCAACGCCACCTGGCACTGCAGGGTACCAGTGAGGCCTCAGAGCCTGGCCTGGCTCTTCTCCAGCCCAGTTCTGTGAGAGCTCTGCAGATGACCGGCTCTCCAGCTAACTCCTGCCTGCCCATCTCTCCTTTGCAGAGGGCTAGCTGGCGGGAGTGGGTGTGGCTCTTACTCTGCTGACTGCGGAGTTCCTGAAGAAGTGCTTGCGTGCTGCGGGCGCTGGCTGCCCTCTGTGTCAGGCTTGAGTCTTGGTGGCAAGTGGGTGTCACGCTGTCACGCCTGTGCTGATGTTGCCTGCATGGCCCAGGGTGCAGCTTGGCTTTGAGTTCTGGCAGCTTATCTATGTTGCGGCATCTCGGCCATGTGTGGGCTTATCAACCATGCTCTGCTGCTAAGCGGCTCATGGAGCATGGACAAGATACCACTCTGCCATAGTCCTGAGGCCTAGAGGGTGAATGGCCTCATGGGTTGGCACCTCCTCAAGCACTGGGCACCAGCAGCTCCACCCAGCCTCCCTCTGTGACTTCCTCTGCCCAGAAGAACGCGATGTTGCTGAGATTTCCAAACATCTGCCAAAGCACACAGGTGGCAGCTCACATGTGGATGCCTACCTTGGTCTCTCATTCCAATGGCTATGCGCAGAGCCAGTGACACATGAGGCCCAGAGGCCTCTGGATGCCAGAGCCATGACAGGCCTAGGAGTTGGGTTTGTTCTTTGAAGTGGTTTGGGGGCCGAGGGTTCTCTGAAAACACTGCCTTAGAAAGGAAAGGAAGGCTGAGAATTGGGTCATCTTCGGGGGTAGGGAGACTCTGCAGGTATGTCCTCCCAAGCTACCTTTGGGGAGATGGGGGGCCTGCTGTGGGTGAGTATCAGGCAGAGAGGCCCTCTACCATTGGCAGTACCCGCCCAGGCACGGGCTCCTGGGCACATTTTTTTTTTTTTTTTTTTTTTGGGTCCGGTCGTAGGGCCTGAAATTCTGGGTCTGAGCGCTGTCCCTCAGCTCTTCAGCTCAAGGCTAGTGCTCTACCACTTGAGCCACAGTGCCACTTCCGGCTTTTTTCTTTTTTTGCTTATGTGGTGCTGAGGAATCGAACCCAGGGCCTCAGGCATGCAAGGCAAGCGCTCTACCACTGAGCCACCTTCCCAGCCCTCCTGGGCACATTTGTGTGAGATGTTCTAGACACAAGCTCCTACTATCCCTCCCCCTGGGTCTGGGGAATCAGGTGCTGCTCTTGGAAGCCAGTGCCAAGGGCCATGGCAGACTGGCCAGAGGCCTCCGCAGTCCTGCTCCCTGCAAAGACCTAGGAAATCAAGTGCTAGGCAATATCCGCACGGGGCTGTATGTGAGTGTACTTCCCCTGTCTGGGCAGTTCCCTGGAATCCCAAGAGAAGCTCTGCCCTGGCCCACCCCCAGCATTCTGCCACTCCTCACTACCAGGGGCATTATCTCCATGTGCGAGAGCTACATTGGCATCAGAGTCCAGCCTGAGGAAATAAAAGTGGAGAAAAAGTCAGCAAAGGTGCCTAGAGAGGACTCAGCGTTACTGACGTCTGGGTGAAGGGGCACCTCCAGATGCAAACCCAGGAGCCCGAGGCGAGGTGGGCAGGGACGGACGGAGTGGAGGAGACGAGCCCTGCCCTGCACACCATCAAGATACCGTTCTCAGAAGGACATGCTCTCTAGCTGCCAATGCAGTCATATGCTCCATACTGAACTCGCTCTGAGACTGTCGGGGGACTGGTCTGGTCCAGTCTGCAGCCTCTGTAGAGATGAAACAGCCACCTTGGCTGGGTGACACACAGGGGAGGGAAGACAAATAGGTTTTTTCCTCCTTGGTTCCTTCCTGAACACGGCATCTTAGCAGTGGAGGGCTGTGGTTTTGCCGATGCTGTGCAGAGCCAACTCTACTCAATATGGTCTCCAGCCCCGAGCTTGATCAGCTCACCAAGATGCCACCTCAAAGCTGGCACAGGACTAGCTGTTAGGACCTAGTGTGTCCTCCAACTTCACAGCTCAATGTGCAGCCTCACCCGGTGACTGTCAGGAGGAAATTGTTCTAGCTTTGGGCTAGCCACCTCCGATCTCTGGGGTCTGGAACATGTAAGGCATGTGCAGCTCTGGGCAGAGCAGGAACTGGAGTGGTGAGGCTGGCAGCAGGCAGGCGCCTGTGTGCTGGCCCCTCCCTGACCTTGTGTGCTCTGGCCTTCCTCCCCAGCTGCCAGACCGTTTATATCTCTTCATCCCGGTACCTGATTCACACCATGGGCACAGCACCCCTTACCCTTCCTACATGTTAACATTCAGAAGAGATCCAAAGCTGGGTGCTGGTGGCTCACGCCTGTAATCCTAGCTACTGAAGAGGCTGAGATCTGAGGATCATGGTTCAAAGCCAGCCTGGACAGAAAAGTCCATGAGACTCTGATCTCCAAGGAAGTGGCGCTGTGGCTCAAGAGGTAGAGCGCTTGCCTTGAGCTGAAGAGCGCAGGGACAGCGCCCAGGCCCAGAGTTCAAGCCCCACAACCAACCAAAAAAAAAAAAAGAGAGATCCAAGTGCCAGCGCACAGGGTGGGCTGGGACTGGAGATGGGCAGACCAAGACGGCACACAGCCGGGCTGTGCCTAGGGGAGTATAACTGTGTTTTTCTTATTCTCAGCCCTGATGAAGAGTCGTCCCAGAGATTCATTCCCTTTGTTGGGGTGAGTATTACCAGTCACCTGTGGGGCACAGGCCTGCCAACATGCCTTCACAAGAGTACTTTTCCCAGGACCTCGTTTCCCAAGCTTTCCCCACCATGCTGGCAAGCCGAGGACTGCCCAGGTCGTTCCCATTAAAGCCCCTTACTTCCTGCAGGTCGGGGGGTGGAGGGGTGTTGGCCCTACCAGTGGACACATGAAAGCTGAGGCCTGTGGACACTGATGGCCCAGCATCTAGGAAGGGAGGCCCACCCTGACCTCTAGACAAGAAGATAGGACATCTCACCTCATTGCTCAGGCTGGGCTGCAGTTGTCAGACCCAAGGTTTCTGTCTCTCACTGCCAGGACTGGGGCCTTCCTCCCAGCAGTGTTATTTCCCAGCACTGTTTCGTCTGTAGCAGAGACCTATGTGTAGTGTGGCCACCAGTGACCCTCAGTGATGGCCATCCTCCTGGGAGGGACAGGACCTGGAGAGCACCCCAGGCTAGGAGCCATTGGGAGTGGCGGGAGTGCCCTGTTGGCGACTTGTCACTGTGCAGTCAGGGCCCTGACTTGAGCATTAGAATTCATTCTATCGTGGGTCGTGGCACCATGTTGGACAGTACAAAACTAAGGCACTGTTCCCATGTGCTCACAGCCCCTGCCTGTACAGCAGCAGCCCTCAGGCAAGCGTCCCGATCTTGCTAGTTGACTGGACCGGAGCAGTCACACTGGCACAGGGTTTGCTCCTGCCCGGAGCTGAGCTCTGCCCCATGGATGGAAGTGACTCAGACCTGGTACTTCCAATGGGTACAAAGGCTGGGCAGCGCCGGCCAGCCTGGAGTCCACTGCCCAGAGCTCCTAGGTGGGGGCCCAGAAGGCAGCTCAGGAGGACCGCATGCATGCATGCATGCAGCTGCCTCCAGCCAGTGTCTGTCACGTTCCAGGTTGTAAAGGTTGGAATTGTGGAACCATCGTCAGCCACATCAGGTAACCGATCCCTTTGGAAGCCTGTGTGAGTAGCCCTCAGCACACAGTGCCAGCACCCTGGTGATGCACTGGTTCCAGAGAGAGTGTTCTCCTGGTCCTGAGGACCTGCGACCAGCCCCATGAAGCCTCAGGCCAAAGCAGGCTGAGGAGCAGTCCTGGCCAAGGGGAAAAAAATTTCCTGCCTCCCACACCAGCCATTCTGCCACCCCACCTGCCTGTGTGCCCACCTCCCCTAACCCAGGGGGCTGTAGAGGCCCCTCCCTGCGGCCAGAGCAGCACAGGGGCTCACCACTGCCCGTGACTCCTCCTCAAAGGTGACTCCGATGACGCGGCCCCCTCGGGCTCCAGCGTGCTCTCCTCCACCCCACCGTCCACATCCACATCTCCCGCAGCCAAGGAGGCCTCGCCCACCCCCCCTTCTTCCCCATCAGTGAGCGGAGGCCTGTCCTCCCCCAGGTAAGAAGCAGGACTCTTGTCTAATTGTGGGAGATCCATTCTCCATGTGCCTCACCTGTCAGAGCCCCATGGGTGGGCACAGGCTGAGGGCACTGTGGGTGGGCATGAACGGAGGGCCTTGTGGTGGGCATGGACTGAGGGTGCTGTGGGTGGGCACAGGCTGAGGTCCTGTAAGGGACTGAAGGTTGGCCCTGCTGCTACTGAGTTGGGTAGGCCTAGGGTCTCCACTGAGGACTCTGAGGAAAGAAGCTGCCACATGAATGAACGTGCAATCTCACAGAATCTGACATGGTTTTGCACAGGGCAGGCTAGCCGTCAAAAGAGGAGGCAAAGCCAGGTACCATGGCTCAGTTCTGTAACCCTAGCTACTTGGGAGATATAAATTAAGGGAATGCAGTGTACGGTCAGCCTGGTCATAACAGTTTGCATGGGTCTATCTCAGCCAGTGGCTAGTTCCCCGCCACGGTGGGGGCACATGATGCCCAGCCATGGGGACGCACCTCTGCACAACCACACGGAGGAGAATGGCTATAAGAATCAGTCCATGCCAGTCCAGGCATAAAGCAAGACCCTCCTCTTTGTGTTCATACGAAAAGGGCTGGAAGCATGGCCTCAGTGTAGGGTGCCTGGCTAGCAAGTGTAAGGCCCTGAGTTCAGTACCAGAGGGGACAAAGGAGGGGTGGAGACCTGAGAGAGGAGGTGTAGGAGATAGGCTCTTCAGCCCCAGCCCCACCAGGCCGCCTGGGTCTCAAGAGCTACTCAAACAGCAAATCACACTGGTAGCATTTGTCCTTCATGCCTACAGGCCTTGAGGCCCAGGTGAGGCTTTCTCAGCCGGCAGCTCACACCACCCCTGGAAAGCAGCTGGGCAGGCTGTGTGAGCACTGCACCTGTGCTGGGGCTGAGCCACAGAGGAGATGGTGCCAAGGGCACCTTACACTTCATTTTCCCCAGGTTGGGGGAGCAGCTGCCACCCACACTTCTGCCTGGGGTGAGACGTGACACTCGGTCACACGGTGCAAGCTCTCTCCTCTGCCTTTCACAGCCAGGGTGTCGGCGCTGAGCTCATGGGGCTACAGGTGGACTACTGGACAGCGACCCAACCCACAGACAGGAAGAGAGATGCCGAGAAGAAGGACCTGCCCACCACCAAAAACACGCTCAAGTGCACTTTCCGGTCCCTCCAGGTCAGCAGGCTGCCCAGCAGCGGTGAGGCTGCGACCACCCCCACCATGTCCATGACTGTGGTCACCAAGGAGAAGAACAAGAAGGGTGAGGTGGGGGGAGTGCTGAGCAGGGTAGACGGTGGGAGAGGGGCAGCCATGGTCACGGCTGGGGTCGGGAGTGCCACCCCCAGCAAGTTCCCAATAAACTTGCCTATGGCTGACTTCAAAGGGGAGCTGGTCAGATGTGCACAGAGAGCAGCAGCCCCTAAGCCTGGAGGGTCTGAGCGGCTTCTGGCCCCCAAGTGGAGAGCCTCTGGGCAGACAGAAAGGTGCTGTCTGTGGCCACAGCAAGAAGCTGCCACCCCTGGTGAGCCGGGGGCCGAGGGCTGGGTCAGCTGAGCCCTCTTCCCTCCAACTGCTGCCTTCCTACCCTGCTTACTATGGGGCTCCAGCTTAGCCTGGCCCTGAAGCAGCAGTGGGACCATAGCACGACCCTTTTCCTCCCAGTGATGTTTTTGCCTAAGAAAACGAAGGACAGGGATGTGGAGTCCAAAAGCCAGTGCATCGAGGGCATCAGCCGCCTGATCTGCACAGCCAAGCACCAGCAGAACATGCTGCGGGGTGAGCTCGGTGGCGGGGTAGGGGCTGTGGTGTGCCCAGGGACAGTCTGTGACCCAGAGTCCCACCTGGTTCTATGCAAACCAAGGGTGGGATGGATCGAGATGGCTTTTCAGACCCAGAAGAGCGATCAGTTCTGTTTTGCTGTGAAGGGCATGTTGTATAATTCATGCTCAGAACACATTCCGATCAGGCTCTTGCATGCATCTAGCAGCTTTTCAAAATCAAGTAACTTTTTAGTCCTGAGTTTGTTTATTCTGTTTATTTTTTTGGCTGATACTAGAGTTAGGAATCAGCCTTGTGCTTGTCTGACTTGCTTGCTCAGCTGTTGCCCTATCACTTGAGCCACACTGCAGTCTCCTTTGAGTTTTTAAGATGGACATGTATATTTCAGTGTCCCATGAAGGGTGTGCAGAGTACAGAGCTCAGGGTTTAGCTTGGTTAGTCCAGGTCCCGAGGTGCAGCATTTGGTCACCCTGGTCTTCCCATGGTGATTTCCAAGTGATTGTTGTTGTTTTGGTGCTGATCCTAGGGCCTGAGCTTTTTTGAGCCACAGCTCCACTTCTAGCTTTTTTGTTAGTTAATTCGAGATAAGAGTCTCACAGATGTTCCTGCCTAGGCTGGCTTTGCATCAAGATTCTCAGATCTCAGCCTCTTGAGTAGCTGGGTTAGAGGTATGAGCCATCGACTGGCATTTGGACATCTAAGTGGAGGCATTTGTAATGGGGCCTGCCATGTCTCACACCTGAGAAGGATGTAATGTGGATGATGTGTAGGCCAGGCTTATACATTCTTGTGTGCTACCCTGGGAGACCGGCCTGTGATGGTCTGTGTCTGGGAGGGCAGAGAGAAGAAAAGGCTTGTGAGTGGGGCTTCCTTCCTGGGTGGGTCCCCGGGAAGCACTGGGTGGGCAGGTGATCAGGCAGCCCTCTCCCACAGTCCTCATCGATGGCGTGGAATGCAGCGATGTCAAGTTCTTCCAGCTGGCTGCCCAGTGGTCCTCACATGTGAAGCACTTCCCCATCTGCATCTTCGGACACTCCAAAGCCACCTTCTAGCTCCACCCATGGAGGGGCCAGCACAGGACAGTGGAGGAAATTGTCCTGCCCTTGGTGGCCATTGTTGGAGGGGCAGCTGCATTTCTGTTAACACTTGTTTACTACAGAGACAGACCCTTAAAACACAAAGAAACAGTCTTAAGTATGAATGTGCTCAGAGCCTGGAAACTGAGGGACAGGTAGCTCTCTGATGGGTGCCTAGTAACTGCTCTGCTTATTAACCAGAAAGTCTGGCTGAGTGAGAGGCTGGAGAGCTGAGGGAAGTGCATTCTGGTCTCAGGAGCCCCTAGAGTCTGCAAGAAGGAGGGTTCTTGCCTTTGAATCCTGTCTTACCTGGAAGCAAGGATGCTACTTCCTCGGGGAGCCCTTGGTAGGCACAGGCTGTGGAGCTTGGTGACCGGAGGCTGAAGACCATGGGCATGTTCTGCCCCTTGTGTGAGATGATACCCCACTCCTACCCTGGCTCCGTCCAGCCTTACGGTGGAAGTTTTACAGTAGATCTTTCTAATGCTCTCAAAGACATATAACTACCGACGTAGCTGCCAAACATGTTGCTCTCATGAAGTCCCCTTGAGGCTGGGCTGAGCCAGTGGAACCCACCCCCCCCCTGCCTTGCTCTCTGCTCTGGTTGCTAAGGCACTGCTAGTCTTCTGTTTATCTTGCTGCCCCAGACTCGTCTGCACAGCCCTGTGTAGCCCCTGCAAATGTCCTCGAGTCTGGACTGGAAAACAGGAAGTGAAGTTGGGGTCTCCCTGAAGTCCCATCTGCTGTGCCCTCTCACCCCTGCCCCACCTGCTAGACAGGAGCACCCAGAACTGGCCACATGGTGAACTGAGATACAGAGAGCCAAATATGCATATGACGCCTACAGCAACAAGATGGCCAATGAGAGCTAGAGCAGGCTGGCCTGAGTGCAGAAGCCAGGCAGGCCACGGAGCCGAGACCCCTCCAGGCCAAGCCTCTGGGAGCAAGCCACACGCCAGCCCTGGGCTTCCTACCTGGGTGGCAGCCCTGCCCTCTGCCAGAGAAGATAGGCTGAGCTGCATCAAGACCCATCCTTCTCCCAGCAAGGCCCACACCCTGGAGTCCCCACCTGGCTTCCATTCCCTTGGTGGTGGCAGTAACCCTCCCAGGGACTCCGGTATACCCCACAGGGAAGTTCTGAGCCAGTGTCGTAAGATCAAGAGCTGCACAAGGCTATGCTCAGACTGCCAAATGCAGGCCAAGCCAAGTCACAAAGGAGTCCCCGCTTTCTGAGGTGCAAGGTGGCCTGTTTTTCTTACTGAGATCTACCTGCATTAATGCCTGCTCCCCTCCTCCCAGGTAGATGAATAGATAGGGCTTGTTTTTCCAGAGTGAGGACCCTGGGGCTGGGCCTGGAATCTTGGGTTGGCTCTAGATCCCTGGGTGGCCTGAACAGAATGCCAGATGTAGGGCACTGCTGAACTGCACTGAGGAATGGGGGGCGGGGGTGGGGGTGGGGGCAGGGCTGATCCGATCCGATCTGGCCGCTATAAAACCTGGGCCTTGGTAAGAAGGATCTGACGTGGCTCTCTAGAGTCAAGACAACAGGGAGCTAGCTCAGTTCCTGGCTACCAGCAGCCCCTTTCCTGGAGACTTCCCTCCGGCACACACATCTCACTGGCCTTGCACACACAAGGGGAGGGCACGGGCAGAACCTCTGTCCAGCAGCTGGCCCTGGGCTTTGCCCGTACAGCCTAGCAATTGAACATCACGTAGCCACCATCACAGCATACCCTGCCTGGGGGTGGTGCTGTCAAGACACCTGTGCCTCAGTTTCCCCATCAGTTTTTAAAGAGGGATGGTCACGTTTCCCCTGCCTACCTCATGGAGCTGTTTTGAGGATTTGTGGAAAAGCACTTTGTCCCCCTAGAAGGACAACTGGAAGCCAAAGCCATCTGATGGCCAGTGTAGCAGCTGGGGACCGTGGGGAGTGGCGTGAGGCGTGCGTGCCCTCAGGCCTCAGCCCTGAGGTCGCCCCTGTCCTAAAGGCTCAGCACTGCCCAGCCACGGGGCAGTGGGCATCGCTGGGCTCCTCTGGCCTGGCTTGCTGTCTCCGTGGTGTGGGCAGACTCCAGCGCACCCGTGCCCAAGGAGACCCGCCTTCCCTGGCGCCGCCCCCACTCGGCAGGCGGGCCGGGCCAGCCGCACCTCCCTGCAGGGGTCACCCCTTCCACTGTCGTCCACCCTGGAAGACCTGACCGCCTCCAGCCTCCGTCCTCCCGAGAACGTCCGCCGCTTCCTCCCGGAGCCGGCCCGCCCACGGCCGGCCGGGCCTGAGACTTCGGCCTCCAGGGTGTGTGTGTTGCTCCCCCGTCCGGCTTCAGTGTAAATAGCTTTTCCGAGCAGACGCTGGTCGGCCGCGGCCCTGTGGACGACTTTACGGTGCTGACGCGACACTAATAAACCGAGGGCACTCCCCGGCCTCTGCTGTCCTTCCTCGGGGCCTCAGGCCTCGGCCCCGCGGGGCCCGGAGGGGCGGGGGCGGGGAGGGGGTCCGCGCGGGGTGACCCCGGTCACGGGCCGGCGCGTGGGGCCCGCGGGGTGACCCCGGTCACGTGGGGCCGCGCGGGGTGACCCCGGTCACGGGCCGGCGCGTGGGGCCCGCGGGGTGACCCCGGTCACGGGCCGGCACGTGCCGTGGGGCCCGCGGGGTGACCCCGGTCACGGGCCGGCGCGTGGGGCCCGCGGGGTGACCCCGGTCACGGGCCGGCACGTGCCGTGGGGCCGCACGGGGTGACCCCGGTCACAGGCCGGCACGTGCCGTGGGGCCGCACGGGGTGACCCCGGTCACAGGCCGGCACGTGGGGCCGCGCGGGGTGAGGTCACGGGGCCGGCACGTGCCGTGGGGCCGCGCGGGGCGAGGTCACGGGGCCGGCACGTGCCGTGGGGCCGCGCGGGGCGAGGTCACGGGGCCGGCACGTGCCGTGGGGCCGCGCGGGGTGACCCCGGTCACGGGCCGGCACGTGCCGTGGGGCCGCACGGGGCGAGGTCACAGGGCCGGCACGTGGGGCCACGCGAGGCGGTCACTGGGACGGCGCCTCCGTGAGGGCCGCGCGGGTGAGGTCACGGGGCGAGGTCACGGGGCCGGCACGTGGGGCCGCGCAGGGTGAGGTCAGGTGAGGTCACGGCGGCCGGCACGTGAGGCCGCGCGGGGTGAGGTCAGGTGAGGTCACGGCGGCCGGCACGTGAGGCCGCGCGGGGTGAGGTCAGGTGAGGTCACGGGGCGGCACGTGGGGCCGCGCGGGGTGAGGTCACGGGGCGAGGTCACGGGGCCGGCACGTGGGGCCGCGCGGGGTGAGGTCACGGGGCGAGGTCACGGGGCCGGCACGTGGGGCCGCGCGGGGTGAGGTCACGGGGCGAGGTCACGGGGCCGGCACGTGGGGCCGCGCGGGGTGAGGTCACGGGGCCGGCGCCTGCGTGAGGGCCGCGTGCGGTGAGGTCACAGTCGGCAGGGTGGAGCCGGGCTTCCGGCCCTCCAGGCCTGGGCCTCCCGAGGGCAGTGATGGACCACAGGAAGTCCCTCCCCCAGGAGAAGACCTCACAGTTAGCTTCCCCACCAGGCGGGTCCGCAGGCCCGCCAGACACGCAGAGCAACCGGCAGGAGCTGCAGACACAGGACTGGGTAAGCGGAGGACCCAGCCCCGGGGGACTGACGGGGGAGGCACTGAGAAGGGCCCTCGTGGGACACAGGGAAGGCTGAAGAGACCCTGCTTTCCCCACCTTCCTGGCTCGGCCCCAGGGCGGCCTTATCTCCCTCTCCTCCTCTGGACACCATGGAGATGTGGCCTGAGAGCAGGGAGGGGTCTGGACAGCCTGCGTAAGACCTCTCCACTGTCCCAGGGAGTGCACCCATCCCTGAATGACAGGGGGAGTAAGGCCCCCAGGTTAAGGACAGCGCCTTCCCAACCAATAGGCACCATCACTTAAATGTCCACAGCAGCTTTGCCCTGACCGCATCCCTGGCCACCGCAGAGCACACGAGAGGCACAGGCACGTGCAGGCCGAGGGGTGCTCCTAGAGCCGAGGGAACGGAGCTGCCTGGGTGGGCTCCCCTGCCAGGAGACCAGTGCAGGAGGGGAGGGGCCCCCTGATGACGGCAGTGCTCTGACCCCTGCTGCTTGTGCATCCAGGGCCACATGGGGAGCCCTTAAGCCATGCGCTCCTGTGTCTGTGTTGATGGGTGCTTCTGAGGACACGTGTTAACAAAGCAGGATGTGGTGGCAAATACCAGCACTAGGCAGGATTGTGAGTTCCAAGCCAGCCTGGGCTAAAACAAAACAAAACGAAAAGCAAATGAAGAGGCTGGTAGAGCTGCCTGCACAGCTGCTCTGTGCCCTCTAGGGCCTGCCTGGTGCTACAAGAGCAGGCACTGGGGGCCCTGCAGCCGCTTTCGTGAGGCCATCTCATGATGAGCAGTGTCAACTGTAAGCACACAGAAATATTGCTTGTGAGAGTTTTTCAAAGGAAGGGAAGCAGAAGTCAGATGCCAGTTGCTCACACCTGTCATCCTAGCTACTCAAGAGGCTGAGATCTGAGGATCATGGTTCAAAGCCAGCCCAGGCAGGGAAGTCCATGAGACTCTTATCTCCAATAAACCACCAGAAAGCCAGTGGTGGCTCTGAGGCTCAAGTACAGCACTAGCCTTGAGCTGAGGCTAGCCCAGGCCCTGAGTTCAAGCCCCACAACCAACAACATCAACAGAGAAAGAGGGAGGAGGAAGAAGAAGAGGAGGAGGAAGAAGAAGAAGAAAAGCAAATGCATAGCTTCCATCCTAGACAGGTGAGGGGAAGGCACTCTGGCTGAAGGTCAGGGCCAAGAGGACACACGAGATCCATAGCAGGTCCTAGGTTAGGGACAAGGGAGCCATTTATTTCTGCCACTCCCACACTTCTTATGGGGTTGGCTCCTGTGTGAAGTTCTCGCATCCCTCCCTCCACTGCTCTTCAACCCTGCTGTCTATAGCTCTGAAGGTGCCCACACTGCTCCCTCTGCCTGTCCTGTAGGTGGTCCCTTGGTGGACACTCTTCTCCAGCTCTTCTCACTGCCATTTGTTCAGGTCTCAGGCATTGCCTCCGATGGAGTCCCTGGCTGACATGAATTTTTCACCCCTCCTCTCTCAGCCCGAGCCCCTAGAGCCATTACTTGTTGTTCTTGCAAGGGCCCACAGTGTCATACATGGTGCCAAACAAGTGCTTCCAGAAGACAGCACCCTTGGGCTGAGGCCAGGGTCCAAGGAACCCACCGTAGCAGGGAGTCTCAGGCATCTGGGGACAGCAGGTGGAGATCCAGCCACAGTCCTGTGCTTCCAGTCTGGCCAACATGAATGCAGAAGGTTCTAAGTAAAATGGCAGCAGAGACAAGACTAGGCATGAAGTTGGGCACTGGTGGCTCATGTCTGCAGTCCTAGCAAGGCCAACGAGGCTGAGATCTGAGGATCTTGGTTCAAAGCCAAGCTTGGGTAAGAAAGTCATGAGACTCTTCAATTAAATACACACACACACACAACACACAGAAATGGAGATGTGGTTTAACTGGTACAGCACTAGCCTTAACCAAAAAGCTTAGGGATAGTACCCAGGTCCTGAGTTCAAGCCCCAGTAACAGCAAAAAAATAAATAATGACCAATGTAAAAAGGGGGTGGAGTTATGGCTCAAGTGGTAGAGCACTTACCTTGCAAGCCTGAGGCACTGAATTCAATTCCCAGTACCACACACAAAAAAATTAAGTAATCAGTGCAGCAATGTGCAGACATGGCTCAAAGCCCTGAACACCAATCCTTACTGATTTATATATATACACGCACACGTACATACGCACACGGATAGGGAAAGTGAAATTATGCACTATTCACAGCAGTATAGCCTACTTTAAATAATCTATATAGGCCAATTAAAAAATACATAGGCATGAGTAACTCACTAATTTCATATGCTAAAATAACCAGGCAGAAAATGCAGTAGGACGAATCTTGTTCTCTCTAGCCACTGAAACTATGACACCTTTAAAACCGAATCTGCACTTTTCACTACCATATACAAATATATTTATTTTTTGTTGGTCCTGGGGCCTGAACTCTGGGCCTGGGTGCTCTCCCCCAGCTCTTCAGCTCAAGGCTAGTAACACCCTGCCACTTGAGCCACAGCACCAGTTCTGGCCTTTTCTGCTTATTGGTACTGAGGAATCAAACCAGGGGCCTCACGCATGCAAGGCAAGCACTCTACCACGGAGCCACCTTCCCAGCCCGCCGTTTTATTTTTTAATGTTGGTTGTGGAGCTTGAACCTTGGGCTGCGTTGGGAACCCTGTTGGAGTTGTAAGTTCAGGGGTTGAGAGTAGCTTGGAGATGCTTTTCCACAGTTGACTGATGAGCACATGTGATGAGCAAGAACTGTGTCCTAAAAGGGAGGGGGTGGGATAAGAAGTGACACGGCAAGGCCAAGAAAAAATTTCTTTTTAATGACATGACAGAAAATAAGACAAATAGCACAAGACAGATGACACAAAACTGCTGTGAGGTCTTCTAATTGGGCAAATGAATGGACTAAATGTTCCAGCTGAAAGAAAGATGTCATTAGAGTGGACTGAAAGCCAAACCCAACAATGTGTGTGTGAATGAGGGGGCGTGATCTCAAGAATATTCTTAAATAAGGGTGATGGTCTGTAAGCAGCTTCCTATCAGATCACATTGAATTTTGTCAAACTCAGCAAGCTTCCTTTGAATTTGGGATTTGGTCGGACAGATAACACTACTGGGGCTGGGAATGTGACTTAGTCGCGCTGTGGCTCAAGTAGAAGAGTGTGCTAGCCTTGAGCACAGAGACGTTCAGGGACAGTGCCCAGGCCCTGAGTTCAAGCCCCAGGATTGGCAAAAAACAAAATAACATTACTACACATATGTGTCTGTTGGAAGTATGTGTGTTGGGGTTTGAAATCAGGACCATCGCAAGGTTGTGCATGTGCTGTACCACTTGAGACATGCCTCTAGTCCTTCAGTTCTCCTACCCCCCCACCCAATCTTGGAGCTTGAATTCAAGGCCTGGGCACTGTCCCTAAGTTTCTTTTGTGTAAGGCTAGCCACTTCAGCACTTCAGCCACAGTGCCACTTCTGACTTTCTGAGTAGTTTATTGGAAATAAGAGTTGCTCAGGGCATTGGTAGCTTATGCCTTTAATCCTAGCTACTTAGGAGGCTGAGATCTGAGGATCACAATTCAAACCACATGAACGGGGTTAAGGGTTAGAGCAGGGGCTGGGAAGGTGGCTCAGTGGTAGAGCGCTTGCCTTGCATACGTGAGGCCCTGGGTTCGATTCCTCAGCACCACATAAGCAGAAAAAAAAAAGCCAGAAGTGGTGCTGTGACTCACGTGGTAGAGTCTAGCCTTGAGCTGAAGAGCTGAGGGACAGCGCCCAGGC